GGCACAACAAGCCCGGTTTGGTGTCAAAACAAAAGTAGAGTGAATAGAGCTTAGTTTATTTTCATATTGATAAAATAATAACAATAAAGGTTAACAGTAATTAGGTCTTTTTCATGGTGTAGCTCATTAATATTTGCTAAAAATAAAAAGTATACACTTGAATCCAATTCTGTGTAGACCTCAACCCAGGATTATAAGCCATTTGATGGTTCATCTGTGCTGAGGATGTTTACTTCGGGGAAAGTGAAAATTCTGGGTGACATTTGATTTCTGCTTTTAGAAAGGAGTAGGTTGAGAACAAAGCTAGAGATCTGTGAGCGAGAAAGTGTGAAAAAGAAGCAGTAGAATCTTAGCATTAAAAGACTAGCAATCTAGTTTTAGCCCAAGAGGAAGAAACTAAGACCCATAGGGTAAGATTTCCTGAGCGTCCAGCTGGTTGCAAACTCTGCTATTCCAAGTCTCCTCACTGAATAACACTGTTTCCATCCCATGAAGCTGAGTGAAAAGTAAGTGGTGAGGTGGAAAAATCGTGAGAACAGAACAGAAACACCATTTGGGGACAGTTTAGCATCAAGACCATTTTGAGCCTATAAATCCACAACAGAATTTAACATCTATAGCTGTGAGACATAAACTCTCATAGAGTCAAGGTCAAAGTGCCTCAAAGGCAATTTCATCAGCAGAGGCCACTGACCTGACTTGAATTCCAGGGGGCAGGGCACAATTATCAACAATAAGTCGAAACATGTACAAATCTCCTCACCCTCTAAATACTACTAAATGGACAACTTTGCTGGGTCGAACATAGGGAGAGTAGATCACAAAACCCTCTACAGTGGGGTTTCTTTTATGCAGAAAGGAACAGAAGAAATATTTGAATGATATCCTAAAATACATCTCCAAAATATATGCTAGAATAGTCGACATACATTGCAACAGCAGGAGGCAGCTGAGACTGGAATGCTTAATAGTACTCTCAGCCAAGGCTCTTGGCTTCCGTCAAAAAATGAGGTCTTGAGTAGCTTTACCTGTAAACACTGAAAATAGTTATCAAAAGCAGTATTTTCTGACTCTCAAGGACTGCATTCAGACATGGATTAAGGACACCTGTTTAGGTTACATGGCCTTTGTTTACTTCTCTGGCTTATCTGCTTCTCTCCCACTTCATAAAGAAAAGAAAACATATCACTCTAACATGAAGTAAGGCAGTTTGTAAGGCAGTTTTTTGGTAACGTAGGTTTTTCCTGAACTGATGTGCTAGAATTGAAAAGCTACACCTGTAGAACTCCTTCCAGCCTGCAAAATTGAGATTATTTTCCAAATCCTTTTTTAAGTTACTCTCTGAAAGGACTACATTCCTTATGCCATAATTGTGTTAAAAAAAACCATTAAAAAATTTCCCATAACTTCTAAAAGACTGATTCTCCACTTTGTTCTGAAATCGAACTCATGTACAGAAAATATTTTAGTGTGGTTCACATTATAAGGCACTGGGACCTTTATAAAGGTAGCAGGAGCCAAAGATAAAATAATCTTTAGATCTACGAAGTAAAAAGCTTCTATGGGGAATAAACTATGCATAACAAAATTTTAGCAGAAGGCAGCATTTGATAATGGCAAACAAAGCCCTGTAGGCATTTAAAGAGAGGAGAAGTCTTCACAGGTTGATTCTCCTGCAGTTACCTTCTGGAACTAGCAGGAGGTAATCCCATTGGCTGGAGAAGGGATAGGGGAGTTGTAATTCACACAAGGAGGAAAATATCGGTCAATACAGTGGTTTTTCTAAATATTTAGGTCAATGTTCTTGAAATGCTATTTTAATATCTTTTCCCACTCTTTTTTCAATATTTAAACTTTACCTGGTTTATGATTATGGTTTAGTTTCTTTTACCTTTTGTTTCTCAGTAGGAGTTTCTTTACTGATTTGTTGATCTCTTTGACTGAACGTGTCTTCAAAGAAAGGAAATCAACTGGATTAACCCAAGATCAGACGATCACTACATCAGAGCAAGAACAACTTCTCAGGGTGACTTTTCACTAGGCAAGGTTACTAGACATGGTAAGCTACCACTGATAAGAATTGAGGGAAGTTCACTATTTTTTGGATGTCTAAGTAAAGGTTCTCAACTCTTACTTTTTTTTCTAGGGGCCAAGGGAGAGCCTTTAATGTGTTAGACAGTATAAGGTACTGGGATATGGTTTATGGAAAGGAGGAGATGGGAAGGGAGGGTGGAAAAAAAAAAACAGAAGAAGATGGGCAAAAATGTAATCTTGTCCTCTATGTAAAGACATTAACCTTCTTGAATTGCTCTATTTAGTCAATACTTTTAAAAATAATATTCTCAATATTCAAATATGCATCTGTTATTATTTTTTCACCTTTGTATCATTAAGTTTTCTCATTCCTCTCATTTATTCATCCACCCAATACATAATGTTAGGCGTAATTCCAGCCTCTGGAATACATTGGTCAGTAAGAGTTTATATCCTAGTTGGAGTGGATATTTAAGAAACAGGTAAAAATAAAACCTCAAAGTGTGTAATTTCTGATACTAGTAGATAAGATTAAAAAATAAAAAGGGAAAGGGGTGAAGTCAGAAAGGAAGATAGGCTCAGTTCAGACAGGACCTTTGGTAAAGAGTTTGGGGTTTTTTTATTTGTAATGGGAGATCATTGGAAGATTTTAAGCAGGGCGTGATAATGATCAGACTCATGTTTTAAAAAGGTGTTTCTGGCTGTGGTGTGTAGTACAGACTATAAGGGAATAGGAGTTAAAGCTGGGAGACTAATTTGGAGGTTGTTGCAAGAATATGGATGGGAGATGATAATGGCTTGGGCCAGGATGGTTGTAAGGGCTAGAATTTAAATGTATTTTGGATATAGAGCCTCAAGGCTTACTGATGGAGTGAAAGAAGAATAAGCATTTGCATAAAATGAAAAGAGGAATCAAATATGATGCCTAAGCATGGACCTGAGCAATGGGATGGATAGAATTCTTTTGCAGAGGAATTTTAGTTGCTTCCTAATACACAAGTAGTAGTTTTTGTCTCCTATTTTCCAGCATATGTATGACGTGGTTACATGATGATGATCTCATGTTATTCAGGGAGAAATCCATGGATGACACCCACATTTTATGCCCCCCAAAACCATATATCCAATCACATATTTGTTATCTCTCCCTTGGATTTCTAAGAGACAATTTTTAAAATGAGACATCACTGCTGCCACTTTAGTCCAAGTCTTGAACTAAAGTAACAGCCTCCTAACTGGTCTATCTTGTCTTCTTAAAATTTTCCTAGTCATTCTCCACATAATGGTCCAAGGGACCTTCTAAAATCACAACTTAATTTCCTGCCTAAAATCCTCCAATAGTTTCCCATTGTAATTTGAACAAAATCTGATCTTCTTGCCTGTACCTCTAAGATCCTACAAGATCTGGCTCTGTCAGCTTCTCTGGCCTCATCAGCTACTCTTCTCTGGCCTCGTTCAGTTCCTGCCTTTCTTTCTGCTCCTTGAACTTGGGCAGCTCATTATTGCCCGAGGATTTCTCTTCCTGCTGTTCTCTCTGCCTGAAATGTTCTTTCTCAAGATCATCACGTGGTAAGTCCTATCTGATCATTCAGGTTTCCAGCCCCTGCTGAATATGTCCCTCCAGCAGAGCAGCTGTCCCTGACCACATTCTAGACAGGTACTCTCAAAGCGACTCTCTACAGCATTAGTCTGTTTTCATTTCTTTCATAGTGCTTCACTTTAACTGAAATTATCTTGTTTGTTTTCTTCTTCCTTGTCTTTTTCTTCTCTGGAATTCTCACCCTTGCATCCCTACTACCTAAAACAATGTTGGCACATAGTAAGTAATAAGATTTTGTTGAACACGTTAATTCTTATTTTGTGCAACATTTTTATAGGAGAGAATTGGACACAAGCCTAGTATGAAGCAGTCACAACACATGTCCCAACCAGTGACCGACACATGTGATAGCATTTCTAAATGAAAATTTAGAATCATAAATGTTCAAAGAACTTTCTAGCACTTTGGGGAAAAGACACTAAGGAAGGCAGAACAAAAGACAGTTAGCATATACTATATAAATACATATGTGGCATAAAAGATACCATCTATATTCAGCCTAGAACAGTGTTACACCTTCAATAAATTTTTTGTTGAGTGGATACATGAATGAATTAATTAAAAGTCTCCAAATGATTTGACCAAAGGTGATAGGGAAATGATTTAACCTTGACTAATTGGGATGTTTGTATTCTGAAACAGAAATTCTGCTGAGAGGGGAAAAAGCAAAGTTAAATCGAAGCAGACCCATGTTAAACAGAACTACCTTTGGCACCATAACTATGAAAGCAGAGAGGGACCTCTCCTTCTGTCTTGCTAGGTGTGGGGCAAGTCCCAGCACCTTTACGTCACTTGCTCAGTGAAAGGTAAACACCACACTCCACTGCCGTAGGTGCCCCACTGGAAGAGTCAAGTAAGTCAGGCGACCACATAATCTTATTCCCAATTACTCATATAACTAGTGAACATTCAACATGATACTTTGACGTTAGCCTCATGTTTCTTGACCCTTTTATTCTCATTAGACAGCATTAACTGAGTTATTAAACAAAGCGGGACAAATGTTTTTATTAAAATGAATATTAAGACTAATTCCTGTTCCTAAAAACATAGTCAATTTGGGGATAAAATCAAATTCGATTTGCATTATTTTTGCTTTTTAACAAATCCTTAACCAAAATGATGAGGGAAAACAGAAACCTTTGTATTTAATGGCTATAAAATACCTTTCCTGAAAAAGAACAGATTAAAACCCATACTATATTAAATATATGAAAATAAAAAAATTTTAAAAGCTGTATTTAAATATCAGATAAGTTTTCACAAGAAAATTAACAACTTGTAGAAGTGATGAATAATAATAATTACGAGTGATAATAGTTAACATAATACCACCAACAACAATAATCCATGTGAAAATTCTTACCAAGCCACCACCAATGACAGCTACTTTTTTCCTTTGAATGACAGATGAGTCCATAACTGCTGAAGTATTTTTCACAATTATTGTTGCTTCTGTCACTGAGGGACACTGATTTGTGTCTCTCCGACACACTGATTTCTCTCAGTTTTTATACCACCCAAAGCCCAGTGCATTTATGAGCCAGCGGCAATGTTTAGTCAGGGCTAATTTCCCTTGACAGTATTAACCCATTAGTTGGCCAAAGTACACTCAGCTCAGCTCTAAAAAAACAAAATTCATTACAATAACCAAATTTAAAAAAAATCCATCCAATTGGAGACACTCTATTTTTTCTATCTTCTGTGTAAGACACGGAAATTTTTAAGCAGTCTTATGGCTTTTCTTCTTCTTTTTCTACAGCATATATTCTTAGTTTCATTTTCATTCATGATTAACCATGCATGGAACCTTTCTCATCTGAAGTCCAAAAACATCTCATACCTCCCTTAGAGAGTAAGATGACATGGCTTCATAATTCATCTGTGGATCATTTTTGTGATTAAGACCAATCAAGAATTTCATCTAAAGGGTCCTCATGGATTATTTTTAATAGGCTCTACCAGGGAAAAGTTTTTGCAAGGTTTTCATATTCTCCTGATCAACATTTTGAATTGTGTAACTGACCGTACTTCCCTTTTTTTTTTTTCCAGCCCAGATGCTAGAAAATTTAGAATCTAATTTTAGAATCGAAAATTTAGAATCTGATTACCACTAGGGAGATGACTGACACAATGCTTCTGTAAACTCTTTCCTGACTTCATATTATCTATTCACTGTTTTGTCTTTTTCACTCCATTTTAAATATCATACTTTTTTGCATGATTTGCGAATTGCCATTGTTTTCTGGAACATGATGTGGTGTAAAGTAAAATAAGAACATAAATGAAGTTGTTTCTTCACTTCCTGTTAAGCACATAAAGAATTCAGAACGTGTTTTCCCCTTGTTAGAACTAGAGCTAAATGGTATTCAATAGTGACCCCTTGTGGATAAGCATGATTAGGTATTTTTTTTATTTTGAATAGGTAATACACTAACATGGTATGAAATTAAAAAGACACAAAAGAGTACACAGTGAACAGTAATCGTGCTAACCTTGACCCTTGGCCACCTATTCCTCCTGCCCAAAGACAAGAACTGTTTTGGTGTGTAGGTTACCATAATCTTCTACACGTTGATTATGTCTTTCTTGTTCTTTCCTTGTTTCCTATCTTCTCCCTCTCTCTCTTTCCTTTTTTCTCTCTCTTTCTCTCACTCTCTCCCTCATTCCTTTCCTTCCTTTCCTTTTAAACATTCATTTTAAAACTTTTTCCACACCATATGTGTCACTGTACAATATATAGCTTCAGAATTCTTCAATACCAATATGAAGAAAACTGTATCATTGTCAAAATATATTTTAAAAATTACGAACTATCACACAAATGAACAGTATAATAAGTTACTGTAAAGCAAGCATCCATGTAACTACCACTTAGGTGCAGAGAGAGAACATTGCCAGAATCCCAGAAGTCTACGTGCCCCTTGTTAATCACCCCTCCTTCATAGAGGTAACTGCCATACCAGCTTCCTTTGCTTTTATATATAATTGTACTACCATAGATGCATCTCTAAAACAGTTTAGTGTTGACCTTTTTGAAATTTCCTATAAATGAACTTCTACTGTTTATGTTTTTACAACTTGCTTCTTTTTCTCAATATTATATTTCTTAAGATCCATTTGTGTTGTTGCATGTTTTTCCAGTTCATTCATTTTTATTGTCATATATTATTTATTCATTCTACTGTTGATGGACATTTGGGGTGTTTTCAAATTTTTAATGTCATGAATAATGGTGTTGCCATAAACACTCTTGTGTATACAATGTCATGTACATATGTATGAGTATCTCTAGGTTTCATATGCTGTTTATGCTTTTTTGTTTGTTTGTTTGTTTTTTGGTTTTTGGTTTTTTTTTTGAGACACAGTCTCACTCTGTCACCCAGGCTGGAGTGCAATGGTGCAATCTCAGCTCACTGCAACCTCTGCCTCCCAGGTTCAAGTGATTCTCCTGCCTCAGCCTCCCGAGTAGCTGGGATTACAGGTGCCTGCTACCACACCTTGCTAATTTTTGTATTTTTTTAGTAAAGATGGGGTTTCACCATGTTGACTAGGCGGGTCTTAAACTCCTGGCCTCAAGTGGTCCACCCGCCTCGGTCTCCCAAAGTGCTGGGATTACAGATGTGAGCGACTGCATCCAGCCATGTTTATGCATATTTTTAACCTTTCTGAATAAACAAAAGTTACATTCCAAATAGTGCATTAGCTTTTACTTGATGCAATGTGTACAATTTGTCTTCTGCTCTATCCTCACCAATGTATGTATTGCCAAGAATTTTTAATTTTTGCCGGTCTGGTAGATGTGCTCTATATTTCATTATTCTTTTAATTTGCAGTCCTTTGATTATTAGTGAAGTTGAGCACATTTTTACCTGTTCATTCACAACTTATTTTTCTTCCTCTGTACAGATAGTGTTAATTTTGGGGGAGGGCAGTGGGAAGTTTTTTTCTTTTTTGAGTTCCATTGCATATGAACTTTAGTATTTATATATGTCACAAATAACATTTCATTCACTCTGTGGCTTGCCTTTTTGCTTTCCTAGTGGTGTCTTTTGATGAAAGAATATTCTTCATTTAATACATTCTTTTCCCTTGTGGTTAGAGTTTTTCATGTCATGTTTTATCACTTTTTTTTTTTTATAACCTTGAGGTCATGAGGATATTCTTCCATATTGTCTTCTAAAATACTTATAATTTGCCTTTCATTTTTTAGGTCTATGATCAACATGGAGTTAGCTTTTTTGTTTTTAGAATGCTGTGATATAGATGTTAAAATTTTGTTTTCCAAATGAATACCCAATATTCCCAGTACCACTAAATGAAAAGACTTTCCTTTTTGTGCATTGCCTTCAGTGTAGGTCCAGTGTTCATATATGTGTGGGTCTTGTTCTAGGTTTCTATTCTATTTCATTCCATATAGTTTATACTGCCTATACTAATGCCAGTTCCAACGCCAAATTACAATCGCTTTAATACAATACTTAATGTCTTAATCAATTCACCCACCTTGCCCTTCATTAATAATTTATTGACTATTCTTGGTGCTTTGTATTTCCATCTGTTTTAGAATCAGTCTGTTAATTCCATTTTTAAAAACCCTAAAATAAAAACATTGTTGGGATTTTTGACTGGGATTGCTTTGAAGTTATATATCTATCTGAAAAGAATAACTATTTTGACTACTGTGTCTTTCCATTCAGAATATGATATGCCCCTCCCCTCCATCTATTTGTCATCTCCAAGGCTTACAAAGTTATATTCTTTCCCTGTAGAGGTTTGGTCCCCTATTATTATGTTTAGGTAATTGATTTTTAAAATTTTATTGCAAATAATATCTTTTATTTCATTTTCTACTATTAATAGTATTTAGAAACACATTATTTTCCATTTTGTGAGCTTGTATCCAGCAACACTGCAAAAGTTATTAATTCTATTAATTTTGTCTGCAGATTTTTTTGATTTTTTTTTTAACCCAATCACAATGATTGTTCTTCCTTCCCTCCCTCCCTCCCTTCCTTCCTTTTTTGTCTTTCTTTCCTATTGACGGAATGTGGATTTTTCTCTTCACCACAATCGTGGTAGTTTCTCTCTCTCTCTCTCTCTCTCTCCCCCCCCCCAACTCCTCCCCCACTGACTGATTGAATAATTCCCTTCTGTGCTGGCTAGTACCTTCAGTACAGGGTGGAATAGAGGTTTATTTCTTAAGTTCCAAATGCTGGGACATCCTAGTTTTCTTATTGTTATTGGTTTTTAGCAAAATTCCAGTGAGGCCAGCTAATAAGTGCTGTAGATTTTCAAACATGTGAAACTGGTTAAGACTAACTGTATGGCCATAAAGTGGTAAATTTGTGTAAATGCTTTGTGTGTACTTGAAATATATATATATATTTTCTGAAATTAGTGTATATATTTTCCCACACATATCCATTAGGTCAAGTTTATTAATCATGTGCTCAAAACTTTTGTACCCTCTCTAACTTTTGGTATGCTTGTTTTGTCAGTTACTGAAAAGGGTATGTTAAATAATCTCACGCTGTGATTGGTATTTGTCTATTTCTTCAGCATTCCTATCTATATTGAACAATTCACATTTAAAGCTGTTATCCATTACTGGTAAACTAAAGCTTTTATTATTATGAAGTAAATAATTATTTTTGCCTCAGAGTTTATTTGATATTACTATTAGCTTTTATATTTGGTTAGCATTTGCATATTATATCATTTCCAACCTTTTGGTTTCAACTTTCCTTTATTTTTATGTGGCCTTTGTAAACATCATTCTGTTGAACATTTTAAAATCTAGTCTTGTCTTTAATATTTATCTTTTAACTTGAGTCTTTGGCTTTCTATCATTTCACTAAGATGTATCTAGACAAAAATTTATTTTTATAGATCCTAGTAGGAAATCATTGGGTTGCTTAAGTAGAGATTGGTTTCTTTCCTTGTCTCTTATCCTTTTATCTGTATTTTCATCACTTGTCCTTTTGTGCTTCACTATGGATAGTTATTTTAATGTATTATGTATTTTGTTGTATTATTCAATTTCCCAGTTCTTTTTTCTGCTGTCTAGTCAGCTGATAAACTCATCCATTATGTTCTTAACTTTGATTATTGTAAATTTTTAGTTCTGGAATTTTTATTTGTTTTTTTTTTCACATATACTACAATATTTTTAGTTTCCAGCACCCTTGTCAAAATCTTCAAGCTTATGTTTATTACTTAACATAATAAACATGAATGTCTTATGGTCTGTGTCTGATAATTTCTACTGTGGCTTTGTTTTGATGGTTATTTATCTTTTGTAGATACTTATGGTATCTAATTTCCCTGTGAGCATTTTAAACTTTGAGTGCTCAAAATGGTAGTTAAAAAAAAAAAAAACAAAACAACTTGCAAGTAGTTTGAGGCTTCAGGCATCAGAGTATTGCTTTAGAGAAGATTTATTTTTGCTTCTGCCTTGTGCTTCTGGTGATTCAGCACTCACTTCATGTGCAGTGTCAGTGAGGTCCGTCTTAGGAATAGCTCTTCCTTTGGTATCTACATAGCCCATATGGGACAAAACTAGAGATCGTCAGGCTACTTGCTCTCTTTAAGCCTAGAAGTTCAAAACTCTTTTCCACAACACACGACACATTCATTTTAAATGTTATTCATCTGAAAGATGAACTCTCATGGAAGTACTAATATTAGCAGTTTGGGCACAGATACGATAGTCTGAAGTTTACATACAATTCTCTGCTTAATAGCTGGAAACATACCCTTTTTCTTTGACTCAAAGAAGTGCACATATTAATACTATATTATTTGAGTAAAAAAGTATTGCACCTGCTTTACTTAT